AAAGAAGTTGCATGGTCGATCCTTATTTCAGAGTCAACGGATCTTTATCGAGAAACTGTAACTGGAAAATTCCATAAAGCCTACCGAACCAGGTAGTAGACGCAACCCCCATCCGTGTAAATTTTTCATCCCACTATACTTACTTTTTTTTTTATCGTTTAGGAGTTCCTGAGCAACACAAAGAGTGTTGTGATGTGTCTTCTTTTTCTCTATCAATAACTGTTGAAACAAAATGCTGGAGTGACGTATTTTTTCGTATGAAATGTTTTCAGTTTCTTGTTGGTAAGCAATAGAGGTAGACATGATAAAAAAAGGTATTAGAAAATAACGATATTAAAAAATTTTACACGAGAAACTTCTTATTTATAACACCTAAGAAACATAAACTTTTGGATGCGATTGGTGTATTACTAATACTAATATATTGGTCGACAATATGACATTTTTCCATTTTTAGAGTAATAGTTTAGGGAATAACCCCGATATAGTAACTGCCCCTGCGTAACCGTCAAAAAAAGTTCGTGCACATGACTTTTGTGATTTAGATGTGGCTTACTCATTTCAGACTGTTCCATTTTAAATATTTGTCCAATAATCATTGGACAAATCACATGATTTGAATATACAAAACTTCAAATTATCTAATTGCCACTTGGGATAGTTCATCGATATCATAATTATAATAATTTCACCAATATGCATGTAGCACTCAAGGTGTAATAACGTAGTATCAAGCAAATTTTCGACGATGACTCTATTCGAATTTCCATCCTTAGCTGAAGCACTATCGAAATGAAATTAATAATTCAAGCATCTTAAATTACGCTCTCATGCTGACGGATATTATTAGGAAACGATTCACGTTGAATTTTCAATTGCGCACATTCAATGACTTATTGTCGAAAATGAGTTTGTTTTATTACAACATAGCATGATATAACTAACATTCAGAACACATATGGGGATATATGTATCGGACTGTTAGAAAAAGCTTAACACGTACTACAAGAAACACATTAGACTTTAAAACGCGAAATTGATAAATTGATTAGTTACACTATAAAAAAGATCTGCATGCGACATTGATTTATATAGAAGTTATAGAAAGTTAAACCGAGTTTTTTTTTTTTAATTGCATATATTCAGAATGAACAAACAACAAATGCTCGGAAGTTCTAAATTAGCAGAGAACCATGAGCTTATTTATAAAGATTATCGAGACTCAATAGTGGAATCACCAGCAGTGAGGTGGTTTAATTGGTTAGAAAAATCAAATTTGGAAAAATGGTCAGCAATAATATCGCTATTATTTGGAATTTACGTAAGATGGACAGTTGGTTTGCATCCATACTCTGGTAAGCTTCGATATAAAAATCAGACGCCTTTTTGAGGATCTAACTCAATGATTACTCGAATTAGAATTAATTCGCGATATTCATCATTTAAGGTCAAAACACTCCACCCAAGTATGGAGATTATGAAGCTCAGAGACATTGGATGGAATTAACATTACATGTTCCGATAGATCAATGGTATTACTATGATTTTGAATGGTGGGGTCTTGATTATCCTCCTTTAACAGCATATGTTAGCTGGATTTGTGGTAAAATGTATGATCCTTTGTAATACACGTATATTACCTTCTCCGTATTTATATTATACCTTTTCATGCAGAGGATCGTTATTTAACCCAGAATGGTTTGTGCTGGACACATCGCGTGGGTTGGAAAATGAGGAAAATAAATTGTTCATGCGATCTTCCGTGTTGGTTCTTGAATATTTAATATATATACCATCAGTCTTTGTGTTTGTGAATTGGTGGTTTGCTAATGAATCTTGGAAAAGGCGTGTAAGTACATTTAAACTTGTATGATCAAACATAAAATATTTTGTTAATATTTTGCCTTTATTTAGGGATTAGCAATATTGTTCATTCTCCTTCAGCCTGCTCTAATACTAATAGATCACGGCCATTTCCAGTGAGTTGTAGTAATGACTTCTTATTTTATTTATTTATTTTTTTTTATTTGCATTTCATTATAATTTTTTTTCGTTATAGGTATAATTCTGTGATGTTAGGACTTACGATTTGGGCATTGAATTGCTTTTTCAATGATTATGACGTTTTAGGAAGTATTTTCTTTTGCCTGGCATTGAGTTTTAAGCAAATGGCTCTTTACTTCGCACCCGCTATTTTCGCTTATTTATTAGGAAAGTGCATAAAAAACAACAGAAAAGGGTGAGCGTTATGTTAAACGCATCAATTCATATTTAACATTTATTTTTGACTCGCTTTAAATCCTTTTGATTATCTAGGATAATACTTTTTGTGAAATTGGGCGTTACAGTGGTTATCACTTTTGCTATCGTGTTTTTCCCTTTCTTGGATTCGGTTGAACATATCTCGCAAGTCATCACACGTCTATTCCCCTTTCAGCGTGGATTGTATGAAGACAAGGTAGCCAATGTTTGGTGCGCTGTAAACATTTTCATCAAATTACGCGAAATGTTTGAAATTCATACGTTGACAAAAATAAGGTAATGTGTAGTTACATTTTATATTATTAGGTTTATCAATTATAAATGAGATTAATTTTAAATTTGATTTTGTTTTGTTTTGTTTTTTTCTAGTTTGTTTACAACACTTCTAGCTATCTTACCATCGTGTCTACACCTCGGTTCAAATCCTGACAAACGTCGGCTTGTTTATTGTTTAGCGAATTCTGCATTAGCATTTTTTATGTTTTCTTTCCAAGTTCATGAAAAGTCAATATTATTACCTGCATTACCAATTACACTGTTGATTTTAAATGAGCCATTCTGGAGTTCATGGTTTAATAATGTTGCTGTATTCAGGTATGATATGTTTCATACATTTTTTTTTTTAAAAGAATTTAGCCACTTTTTATTTAATAAATATTATTTTTTATGATACAGTTTGTTTCCTTTATTGAAGAGGGAGCATTTGATTCTGCCTTATTTCATTGTATGGCTTATGTGGAATTGGATGGGATCTTTTGTTCAGCAGAATGTGGAACCAATAATATTAAAATATATTTCTTGGGTAATTTTTTTTTTTGCGTCAATATTGTTGTAATCGAAAGGAAAACAAAACATACCCTAATTTTATGTTTTATATACAACAAATAGGCTTCTTATTTTGTGATGGCTGCAATTCATTTCTTAGAATTTAACATCACTCCACCAAAAAGATATCCTGATCTTTATACTGTATTAAATCTTACGTTCAGCGCGGGAATATATTCATTGATGCTTATATACTTTAATTATCGGCAAATAATCTCGTATAATTTGATTGATAAAAAGGATAAGAGAAAGGCCGAATAAATTAAAGATGGTGCTGATATTATGCTTTAAATTTATAGTTTGAGAGAAACGTTCTGAATTTTTTATAATAATTGATATATAGGATATAAATTACTTGGCACTTATAAATAATTGTTACGTTAATATATTGCGAGATAACATTGTTAAATCAAAAGCACCAATATTGAACAAAACAGAAAAATGATTGATTAGATTTTTTTGTCTACAATTGGTGCAATATTAAAAAGTAATATGCTCTTGCCAAAGTCATTTGGTGTGTATTTTTACAGCAAATGTTACAGGACTCGTATTCACAAGATTTTGAATAATCGGGCAGTATTTACTTTTGTACAATTAATATTAATATTTTAATTTAATAAATTATTTCATAAATTTCAAAGATGAATTTCTTTTCTTTCTCATTTAATTAAATCGCATGTTCACCGAATATATTGAATGGTAATTAATACAAAAATCATGTCATGTGAATAAAAAAAATTTTTTTTTTTTTTTTTTTTTCGCGTCAAAAAAGTCCAAATTCAGTAGTTTGTATCAAATTGAGAAATTGTGTAAGTATTAAGGTTTGTGATTAAATACAACAAATCACGTATCAAAAAAATCATCATCGACTTGATGATAAATTTTTATCTTTTTATTTTTAATATTTATTTAAAATATCGAGTCCCCTAATGGAAATAAATTCGTTCTCACATAACGAAACACGACTTTTAGTCGTTAATGACGAAATCGTACAAATTACTTTTAAGTTGCATAATGAGTGAGTCAAATTTATTTTTTTTGAAATTCCCGAAATTTCAATTTCCTTTTTTTTTTCTCAATTCTTTGAAATTACACATTTGTTATAAAAATATCTTATTTTTAGATCAGATATTTCACTCTATACGGAATACCATGATTTACAAGAAGAAATCAAAGTATTTTTGTAACATTGTGATATTCGGAATATGTTTGATCTTTTGTGATTTAACATATTTTTTCTCCTTTAGCAAGTCATAATAGCATTTGTGAAGTTCATGGACGAGGATCACATCATCGACGGCGAAGGATACTATTTGCTTTGCAGTAATCTTTTCTTTCTTTCTTTCTTTTTTTTTTATCGTATCTTAAAAGGCAATTTTTCTAATATAATTTTTTCAACTCTAAAATATAATATAGAAAAGAGTATTTGGAATTTTGGAAGGAATTATATCTTTTATGAAAATGATCAAGAAATCCTACCGCATCAATATAAATATAATTTCGAACTGGAATTTATGAGCCAAGTTGTCAACAGGCATGTATAAAGAGATAATTATAATATAATGAATTATCCTTACTTTTTTTTTTTTTTTTACATCATTAATTATGTTATGTTAATATGCCTGTTATTATAGAGGTAAAAATAAAAGTATAACTGATAGCAACAAGAACAATGCTTCTATTTTAAGAGACGTGTCTTTGGAAGATAGTGCTGGAATGCCAAAGAGTAGCAATAATGCGGTTAATCAAGAAATGTTACAGCAAGTGACGGCAAGGACCAACAATTTACCAGTTGAGAATCGGGATACGAGAAAAGGGGCTACGTCGACTATCTCGAATTTACCAAGGTCTACCGAAAGTACGCGTACACCGTTATTGGTAAATCGAGATACGATACAAGGTTTCGAGGAAAATACGTATATAACACCATTTTATAATCAAAAACATGTGCGAAAACCAGTTGACAGCGCATATGCAACATTATTTAACTATCGTGAATCCACGTACACGACTCCGATTGATAACCGAGGGCATATGCAGGGATTCGAGAATCGAAAATATTCGGAATTTATGGCCGATTCACATGGAGCTCAGTTTGAATATCAAGAGAATTCGGACAATGTTAGTGAAACCCAGTTTTAATTTTAATATATATATATATATATATATATTATATCAACCTTACAATCCTAATTGCTTTTCCATTATTAGGCATCCAGAACATCATCCAGAGGATCATCTCAAGAATCATTCATAAGGGGCATTAGGACGAGTCAAAATTCGCTTGAATCGACGTCTTCGTTAGATTTTGGATCACAGACAATTTCCGGCATTTCCAAATCACAATTCACAATGCCAACAAATCAAATATCGAATATATCTTATAGCACGGACGATCTTGGTGATGATGGGGAATCTTTGACCCAAAATTCGACGTACACTAATTTATTAAATGAAACAATTGAAGATTGTGAAGATAGCAATACCATTATTAGGTAAAAACCTTTTTATTTTATTTTATCGAGATTTTGTTCATGTGAACCTAAATTTTTACATTTTATTTTAGTTTTATCAATCCTTTAAAATTTTTCCGAAAAATTATTTCGTGAGAAGGGTACAAGATATGTGGCAATTTGTGCGCCATTGAAAGCTGATTTAACTATGTTCAGAACACAATTATTATAATGACAAAAACTTAAAATTATTTACATCATACCTTTACTAATTATATTATAGACTGTACTAACTCCTCCCTCCAAAAAATATATAGATGAATAAATAACAATGTAAATAGATATTCAATCGTCATTTATTAGTTATTATATATATATAAATATATATACATAAAAAAAAAAAAAAAAAACTTTATATCCCCACATTTTGAAGTACGGTATTACCAGTGACTAATTTGGTAAACTCACATGATAAATCGATTAAAGTATGTAAGAACAACTTCTACTCGCGTTACGTTGTGTTACGTCATGATCTAGCAACATTACCTGATCGGCAAAACATTACCGACCAATCACGGTTCAATATTAATATTGTTAGTAATCTGCCCGCAGTAGTAAAACACTTGTCATTCTGTAAACATGGAGAATCAGTTTGTACTAAAAAGAGAAGATATTGAAGAAAAAAAAGTAATTAAAGGTGGTAACCTTGAAACCGTATTGCCAGTTTCCAATCGACAGCCTAATCCACAGTTGGTTCCCATTCGTCCACCGTCTTTAGACCCTGAATCTTCGAGAACAAGAGTTTCTAAAATAATGAGACATGCTAATTTTTCAACGATACCTCCAAAGTCAAGTTTAACAAAGTTTCATACAGGGTTTCATGGAGAATTTAGTAGTAGTTATGTAAAGCTAGAAACAAAAAATCTTTCTACCGGAGGCAATAAGACTAGTCAAATTACTTCAGGAACGGTCTCCTCAATGATGCCACCGGCAAATATTTCGACCTCGGTTATCTCTTCAATGACGCCTATAGTTACTCCTACATCTATCAAAGTCTTTCCCGCAGAAAAAACGGTAAAAGTTTCGAATAAGTCTAAACTAGTTAAAATTTCACCAAGGACAACAGATGATGCAGATGAATCCGCAGTCGAATCCAAATTACAAATAAAAGAAGAAATAAAATCTGAAATCATTAATAATAATGATGATGAACAACCTAAAGAGACGACAACAAAGAAACGAAAGTTAGAGAATGAGGCGTTCAATGAAAAAAGATTCGCTTGTCCGATATGCAATAGACGTTTTACGCGTAAATTCAACATGCAGACCCACCAACTTACTCATGAGGTTGATCGAGTGAAACCCTTCCTTTGTAGTTATCCGGATTGTGAACATCGTTTCACGAGAAAACACGACCTTAAACGTCATATATACGGCATTCATGAACTTCCCGAGCACGAATTTAAATGTTTTAATTGTAGTAGAACCTTCACTCGAAAGGATGCTTGTAAGAGGCATTCACTTACATGTCATTTATTTGAGGAAATTCCGGAATATGAAGTTCAAGAGAGAAGAAGACGTAGACCTACTTCGAAGACCAAATATACCAAATATGATCGGGAAATTAATTTTGGACAACAAGGTACGCGTAATGTTGTTACAGATAAAATAATTTTTTGTGGATGGATTGGAAAATAAATATACTTTTTGAATATGTCGACAGCGATCGCACCTTTAGATCAACGTTTCTCGACTTCAAATACCATGAAATTTTCAACTGATGATTTAGTTAATTCTTTAAATGTTGAAAATTCTTCAACCTCATCAACAATTGATACAATAGATAATTTGATGGATGAATCGATGCCTGAAGATTCGATCGATCAAATGTTTGATGGAGATATGAATGGTAACATGTGAAACGATCTGAGCTTAATAATAATTTGATCCTTTACCTTTTTTTTTTTTTGAAATAATTAGCTTTTTTTTAAAAGGGACATTTACGTACGATGTGAGAGATTTTAAATTGTTTTTCCTCATTATTTTATATGATTTCAATCTTTTCCCTTCCTTATATTATAAATTTGACTTCATTGTTTGTATATATGTGTGGTATGTAAGGTGAAGTTTTATTATTCAGATATTGATGATAGTGTTTATATGTAAAATGTCATCTTTATAATAAAATCCCCTTATTGTTTTATATAAATAAAATAAATAAATAAAATCCAATTATAAATCAACGTGATGAAATCACGTGATATAGTCGCCTCGCTTTAACTTATTTATTGATGTGATGGAAAGTATAAAACTACATAAATGATGACATATACTAACAAAGGAAATGCATATACGACATAAAATCATGTTTTTGTTATGTCATCAAACATACTCCAGATCACCAAATTAAAATAAATAAATATTAATTTAAACCGACCTTTTCTTTATTTATCTCGTTTTTCTTACTTTTTTTTTTTTTTTTTTTTATCTTTTTATTAACAATGTCTGATACAGAAAATATATTAAAAGATATCCGAACCTCGTTGGCTATCTTGCCTGAAATCAAAACTCTTCTAGAAAAACTCACGGAAGCCGTGAAGGCTTTGCAACTTGTTCACGGACATGATACGATTGATGTACCTGCTGCGGCACAATTGGTTAATGGAATATCTGACTCGTTTGTATCGCAAATCGTCTTTCCTATCGTAGATTCCATCGAATCGGAAGGTGGTATAAATGACATAAATGACATGAGAAATCATCCATTAAATAATGAAGAGGAGAATGATCAAAACGAGTCCAAAGTAGAAAATTTATTAAGTTCAGCAGAATTAACCGATAAGCCCAAGAAAAAATTTAGTTTGAGTGAAAAAAAGAAATTAAGGAGGATGAAAAGAAAGCGATCCAATACAAAATTAAGCCCTGAAGGTTCTTCATCCATTGATTTGAACTTGAGATCTACATCGGAAATCCAATCGCCTCGACCTTCCAAAGAGGTTGCATTGTCACGTGTACCAGCTCGCCCTCCCCCGCGATTTCAAGTGCGTTTACTTTTGGGAATGTTCCATGCCAGTTTTTTTTTTTGTTGTTGTTGTTTTTTAATTACGTCCCCTTATTTTATTTTATTTTTTTCGATTTAGTTGAATCGGACAGATACTGCGGTTTCACCCAAAAATGACGGCAGGGATCGTCTTGAAATGAGAGGTAAATCAAATCAATCGACTGGATATCAACGCGAGATGTTGAAAGATAATTGGCAACAGCTAGCTTCTACATTTGAAGAAATGAATTTGAAATCAGAGATTTTGTTGGGAATCCATGCATTAGGGTATTAATATAAAAAAAAAATTTTTTTTTTTTATTATTAACCTTGAAAAGTTTGATTTAATCGTCCTTTTCTTTTCTTTTTTTTTATTTGCATCTTGCAAGTAGTTACAATCAACCGACATCCATTCAGCAACGTGCGATCATGGCGATATTATCTCGTCGGGATGCTGTAATCCAAATCCCTCGACTGGAAGAAAGAACCATAACTTACATCGCTGCCCTACTTCAACAAATTGAAACAAGTGACAAGTCATGCCAAGCAATTATAATCGTGCATTCGAAAGATTTGTGCCTTGCGATTCAAGATTTAATCGATGTCGTAGGTCAACACATGCGATTTTCATGTTTGGTTTGTATCGGTGGTATTCCGGTGAGACAGGACGTAGAAAATCTGAGAAATGAAGGGCACCAAATCATAGTCGGGACTCCGGGTCAGTAAAATAACGGATCATTTAATAATTTGTCGTTTAAAAACTTTAAAACGTTACAATTTACACGTGACTGAATGAACAGGTAGATTGATCGGACTAATGACGGATCGTAAATTCGATTTTCAACGCATTAAAACGATTATTGTTGAAGACTCTTGTATCATGTTTAATAGCAACTTTCGTTCACAAGCTTTCGACATCATCTATAAAATACCAAAAAGTGCTCAAAAAGTTCTGATGACGACCGCGACAACGTTTACCCTTGCTGATATTAAAAATAAGATAACAAATAACACTATCATCGTTCTTGATGACGTAAATATGAGTGACGAGTTGCGATTATATTACACGGTTGTTGAAAAAGATGATCAGAAGCTCAATGCGTTATGCGAAATTTACAAGGATGTAGATATTCAAAAATCCGTAATCTTTTGTGATAATTCGGAACGAGTTGATTGGTTGTCTGACAAGCTAACAACTTTATTTGAAAACATGACCGTCTACGCCATGGTATTTTATGTATTCATGCCTTTTTTTTTACAGAAAAAAAATAATCATCTATATAACGATGAAATTTATTTTATTCATTTACTTAGCATTCCTCTACAAAACAATCAGACAGACATGAAATTGTCAAATCTTTCTGGAAATCAGAAGTAGCTGTAATTGTAACTACAGATTGCTTCTCCTCCGTTTTAGCGTTCCATCCTGTAGATTATAGTGTACATTTTGATTTACCATATAAAAAGGAAGAGTACCATGATCGGTATTTATTGATTTTAAACTTAAATCTACGTGACCAATCACCTTAAATCCTGCTTTTTAACAAAATACTATTTGATTTTTTGAAGACTTTGCTGTTGCGGTGCCTACGGTCCTCCGGGTGTGGTCATCAACATTCTTATTAGGGAACAATTATATGACCTCGGAGTTCTTGAGCGATATTACCGATTAAAGAGCAAAGAATTAAAGAGCCAAGAATTGCCGGTAAGAAAAAATGATTTATCACACTTTGACTTGACTATTAATTTTATGAAATAATAGGAGGATCGAAATTTGTCGTTGAAAGTGGAAACTTGAATACCTTGACTGAACAGAATATTATTATTATTATTATATCAATATCAAAGTATTCATTTGCTATAATATGTATTATCAGATTTTCATAATAAAAAAAAAAAAAAAAAAAAAATTTCTTTATTTTATATGTTACAAATGTTACGGATGTGCAATTATAAATCAATAAATAAATAAATAAAATAATTAATTAAAAAATCCACGTGATGTT